TGTGTTGTCTGTCTAAAAGAACAGGTTGCATAAGTAGTCAGTAAGCATGTAGACATCATTTTGTCTGATAAACAGAGCGGTGACTAACAGTCTTTCCAATGAACCCCTATTAATTGATTGGACTTGTTGAAAATCAATCATTACACTACCATTAAAGATTCAGGCAGTCCTGACTTATGTCCACTATTCCATGGCAGGTGCTTGTATTTGATTTTGTCTGAGGATGAACCAGAGCTTTTACTTGTAAGGTAAGTGCCCTGACACTCAGTTATACCCAGAATTCCTCACTGACCCTTTTGAAATACACTAGTTTTTTTTCTGTAGTTTTTTCTTTTTTTAAACAAACAAATAAATAAATAAAATGAAGCACAAACCTGTTTGGTGGTGATGTCTCTGATACTCCAGAAAAAAACAGAAAAACAGGCATCAAAAGAGAACAAAATGAAGACTGCAGCTTTGGGTTCTGAAACTGCAGAAGGGCCCAAGGAAAACAGTAAAAGCGGAGAACAACTTGTAGGCGTCAGTTTGGGAGGTGGGTCCTGGATACAAACTCAGGTCTTTGGAGTAGCTATCTTTACCCACTGAGCTAACTCACCAGTCCTGTTGTTTCTTATTTGTTGTTGTTGTTCTTATTAAAAAGCTGAGCTGATAAAGGGAGATGTTAGTTTTAGTTATGTACCTCCCTCCTCCATGTAAGGTCCCAGGCCTTCCAACTAGTGAATATGACTTTGGAAACACCTTGTAAACGAAAACACATTAAAATGAGGTCATATTGGAGTGAGCGCTAACTCAGTAAGAGACACCTTTACAAGAAGACATAGAACATAGTGGCAGACACCTGGGCTTTCAGTATTCAGGAGTCTGAGGCAGGAGGATTGCTAGACACAGATAAAAGAATTGAGAGTGCTGATGAAGGCACACACTGGAGGACCACATTTACAAGTGATGGGATACCAACAGATGAGACACGGAGTTGGCCTGGACATTTCAGAGGTGGTGCCAGCTTGGTTTCAGATTTCAGACCTCCACCGTCTAGAACCATGAGAGAGAGAAAAAAATTGTATTGTTTTTAACTTCTGGATCTATGATATCTTATCACTGCAGCCCTAGAAAGCCAATATAGCATAAAAACGTCAGTTATATTTATGCTGAAAAACATGATATACGCTAATAGAATGCTATCTTTCCCTGGGAACACACTGCTGGAATTGGAAGTTGACTGTCTGTCATTGTCCTTGCTGACACTGCCATCTTGTATGAGAATTACAGTACCTTCTTCCAAGTCATGCATGTCTCAGAGATCAGGTCCAGTTGATCTCATCACTTTGAAGCCAGAGTGACCTTATTAAAATCTGACTGCATCACCCACCTGCGTGAAACCTACTGTGGCTTCCTTATTGCACTGACAGTAATATCCAAGTTCCTCTAGCAGATTCTCACACCCCTCCCCTTCATCTGCCTGGGTCCCACTTTTTCCTTTAGCCTCCTTACTGCCTGGCTGACTCATGTTGAAATGTCAGATTTTGATACAGATTCCCTTTCTTGCCGCTTGGCTGACATCACAGATAGTCCCATGATCCACCATAATTTGCCTTGCATAGCATTAATGGGAAATTTATTGCACCTGTCGGGTTAGCATCCAAGGCTCCCTCTAGTTCCCTCTAGTCTATAACTCAGAACTGTCCACAAACCAAAATCATTAGAGTTTGTTAAAGATGTAGTCTCAGGCCCAACCAGAGCACCAAAATCAGCTGTGTTTATTTATTTATAACTTATTATTATTATTATTTTGGTTTTTCAAAACAAGGTTTCTCTGTGTAGCCCTGGCTGTCCTGGAATTCACTATGTAGATCAGACTGGCCTTGAACTCACAGAGCTCTGCCTGCCTGTTTCCCAAGTACTGGGATTGAAGGTGTGAGCCACCACTGCTAGGCTGCTGAGTATTTTTAAAAAGGTGTCAAGTCAGTAGCAATTTATAGCTATCATTATTGCCATTCTCATTATTTGAAGGTTTTCATTTGAGACGGGTCTTACTCTGTAGCCCAGGCTGTCCAGGAACTCACAACGAGGCAGTTCTCTTACCTCAAGTTTCTGTATGCTAGAATTACTAATGTGAGCCACCATGGCTTCAAGACTTTTTTTTTTTAACATGGTTTTTCTATGTATAGTCCTGGCTGTCCTAGAACTCGCTCTCTGTAGACCAGCCTAGCCTTGAACTCACAGAGATTTGCCTGTTCCTGCCTCCTGAGTTCTGGGATTAAAGGCAGGAAGCTGAATTTATGCACTGTAGATCCCATAGGACCAGAGAACACTGTCTAGACAGTGTTGTCCTATAGTGGAGATTTCACTGCTCAGAGCATCAGGCAAATTACCTACTCACAAACACAGTTACCAGGAAAACCTGAAGTAAACAGATGATACAGATTGCATATTAAATCAAAGGCTTCCTTTAAATATCCCTGAATTCCTTTCTCATGTTTAGCTCTTCAATCTTTGTGTTTGAAATATATGAATAATTACTCCACTCCTAACCAGGCTTCTTGTAGTAGGATATTTAAAAAAAAAAAACTGTGGGCATGTGTGCTTCCTCCTCGATTGTACCCTTGGACCTCTGCACCTGCATTCACATGCATACACACAAACACAAGGAATAAATCTTAATAAAAAGTACCCTTTACGAGCCCCAAGCTTGATCTGCACAGTGCCAGGGAATGAACCAAGCATTCTACCAACCAAGTTACATATACAGTTGGAACTATGGTCATTTTGGACCTTGGTCTTTAGTAATGATTTTAAAAACTATCGTCCTTATCAGTGCTTTTTGTTTGCTTCTTTGCTTTTGTTCCTCCCATGGGTTGTAGGAGATTAGAATACTCAATGATAATTTCATTAGCTCCTGTAACTCCATGATTATTTTTCTTGCACGGCCAGTGTACAATGGTATTTTATGAGGTACACAGAGAAGAGGATCCTTCCACACATAGCTTCTAATTCTCTTCATAGAACAATAGACCATAGACTAGAAAAATAAATAAATAAATACAATTCTACAGACTGAGACCGTTTTAAATGTCATCCATCAACGTCGTGCTTTACCTAGTCTGAAACCTACTCAAATCCTTTTTTTTTTTTTTAAAGTAGAATTTGTAGTTCCAGTAAAGAATCAGGGTTTGTCTAAGATTTATATCCTAGGTGGATCGATAATCTTTTATAATGATAATGGCAGAAGGCATGATTGCCACAGGAAAGCTTTGTGGTAAACAAGGTTATACTTTGCTTTTCTCACTGTGAGTATTCATTACATTTCAGGGCCAGTGGTTCAAACTTAAGTTTATTAGTTGATGCAATCAATAAGTGAAGGTATTCAAATGAACTATAGCAGTCAATGTGAGCTTTGAGAGGGGTTTGGGAACACAGGTCCTACCCCTCCATCAGTAAGATCCTGCGAAACTCGGTCACGTGGCGACAATTTGTTACCTTCTTGCCCCTCGTATTTACCTCAATCAGAAACATCCAACAATAGCTTTAAAACAAAGTTGCTAACCTGAGTAGTTTAGTTCTTTAGTGTTGTCTGTGCCGCCTCTCCGGCCAAGCCAAAAATAAATATTTGCTAGCTCGTGCAGATTGAACGATTTAAGGAAAACAAATAGGCTCAGAGGCATATAGGAGCCACTGAATGTAAACAAGAATGGCAAGCTGCGGGCGTGTTCTCCCCCCTCCCCCGCGCTCCCTCTAACGCCGACTCTTACGCAGTTGTTAGCTTACGCCTGTCTTTTGGAAAATGAAGTCTGAGTTACTGGAATTTATTTTACAAAAGATTTCAACAACCGGGCTTAACTTATTGTGAACAACTCGAATACTTTTCCGAAGTCCATGCCTGCGACGAACCTGGAAGGTCCGCATTAAAACACCTGTGATTGCTAGCAGAGCCCTCTTGGGTCACAGCACTTGCTCCCGGTGGGTCTGCCTGGATTCACTTCAGAAGAACTGCTGTCTGTGTAAGGGAAATTGGGCGATTTAATCCCTATCAAATCATTTTTGCATCAGAAAAGTGGCCTAACTTCCGAGGGCCAGGTTGAGGACAGGACGAGAAAATGCAAACCTAAGTCTTCATCATTAAGGCCTCCCAAGCCTACTATTATTTAATACCTAGTATTATTTAGACGCCTGTCAGACAGTGCGCCAAAAAAGTTCCTCTTCCCAGAGATCCCATCTTCCTCCCTCCGCAAAGGATCTAGAGTTTTCATAGATGAAGGTGGTTCCTTCTCTGTGCAGTGTCAACACATCCAGAGGAAATGGACGTAGCTATTTACAATTCCAGTCCTGCCGGGGAGAACCAGCCCGGAGCCCGGGACCACACCCGCACGCGCTTGCCCAACGGAGACACTACCTCCTCCTCTATCTTAACAATTCGCAGTCACTACGCAGCTTTTCTAAAGTTTAATTTTGTACTCGAACTTGGGACTCTTCTCACGTGAGGTCTAGTAAAGACCTCGTCTAATCGCTTCTTGGAAGGATCCACATTTTAGAATTCGAAGTTTTCCCTTCCCCATTCCTTTCCCGGGTTGTTTACATTTGTCTCTAATTGGTGAAGAATAATAAAGCCGAGGTGCTCGGTCTCACCCTGCCCCCAACAGTCTTCACTGTAAGATTTTCTTAGCTACTTTTGGAGGGTGCCACCTTTCAAAATTGATCTTTCTATGTCACCTTCGTGTTTTAAGAAAGCAACTTGCGGGCTGAGCAGGATTCGCCCACCTTGCGCCCCCCGCTGAGGGTCGGCGCCAAAGCGGTCTGCGGCTTGTCCTGGCAGGTTGCGCTCCAGGGCGACTCGAGACCTGCTCCACTTCGCTCCCGCGCTGCGGCGGCTCGCAGGGGCGGGGACACGGGCGGGCCGACGTCAAATTACGTCACCGGGGAAGTTCCCCTCCTTAAGGCTAGAGAGCAGGCGTGGGGCGCCAGAACAGAAAATTCCTCTGCTCGTGCGGTTACCCCACAGAAGCTCGGTGCGTCTGGCCCGCGGCATCCTCGGTCCATCTGGCGCAGTCCGAGTCCTGTGGGAGTCCCAGAGCTCAGGTTGGGGACCTCGGGTTCCCCGTGCGCAGCGGAGATCGCCGCGGCGCTTAGGAGATGCTCCAGAGCGTGGCGCGTCTGAACGCGCCATCGAACCCAGCGCGGGCAGGTACTTCTTAGCAGTTCGGCCCGCAGACACGCAGTGGAGGTCAGGGTCGAGGTCACGGTCGGGACGGTTCAGCCCTTTGGGGCTCGAGCCAGAATGTATGCGCCTGCACGTTCGGGCTAAATCGGCTCCCCGGCTCGTGCCTTCGACGCATCTAGAAAGTTCTTCAAGGGCTTCTACCAGCACTGCAGGCCTCGGGAGAAGCTCAGCCCATCGTGTCATTGAGATGCAGGTGCATTTTAGGCCAGAAAGGATCTTTTCTGTCTGTCGGGTGGGTCTCTATTTGCTTTATCTAGGAGCCAGAAGAAGGGAAAAAAAAAAAAAAAAACATGTTCAGGCCGTGAACTGGAAGATAGTTTTAGCGGGAAGTAGAGGTGGGAGAGGCCTCTGGGCCTAGCGCTCCCCTGACAGGCTGTCTTTCTCCCTAGGCCTTCGTTGAGAGCTCCCCTTCATCTCTACCCCTACTGCCCCACCTCCAACACCAAGTAAAGTAGCTTTCAAACTTCGGACTCCCAGCTCTCACACCCTGAACGCAAAGAGGTGTGGGTTTGAGACTTTTGATATTGAGCCTTTTAACTGTCCAGATTGGGAAGGCAGGGGAATCCAGAATAGAATTTGGTCCTGCACTCTCATCCATCCATCAACTCCTCCCACTCCGGGCACTCATGCAACTTGGTTCCCCCACCCCATTTTTTAATCTTATTCGAAGGTGCCAGTCACATGCTAAGGGATTGCAAGTCTGTGGTCTGGAAATAACTTTGCGGAGCATACCAAAGTATAGTCAGTTTCTCCTATGGTTTTATAAGGCCAAGGGTCAATGCAGAATTGGTATATTGCAAGCATGAAGGTAGTTAACCAGGACTTGGATGGAGGAGCTTTCTCTCTCCTCTCTTTCTCTTTCTCTTTCTCTCTCTCTCTCTCTCTCTCTCTCTCTCTCTCTCTCTCTCTCTCTCTCTCTCTCTCTCTCTCTCTGTGTGTGTGTGTGTGTGTGTGTGTGGTGTCGAGTATTCTGACCATGTTTCTGGAAGGTTCAACATGAGCATGACATTGTCCGGACAGATGTAAAAAGCAGCAGTGAGGCTGGATGGAGGTCGAGTAGTGAATGTGTAACTCCAATAAAATACGTTGCCGGGCGTGCCTATCCCTAACCCCAGCGCACAGGACGCTGAGGCAGGAGAATCAACCTGGACTGTATATTTTTTAAGGCCGGACACTTGTTACAAAGATAGATACCGGCAAAAAAAAAAAAAAAAAAAAAAGAATCGGTTCCCCCTTCAAATCAAGGTAGTAGGACCGGGTTGAGTGCAGTAGTAGAGCAAATGCCCAGCATATCTGTGGCCCTGGGATCTTTGAGCTGCTTTCTGCCTCTCCACCTTTTGACAATGCACTAATTTAATTGCTCCTAGAAATCGTGACTTAATTTTTATGCTGAATTTTTAAAGCCTGCGTCTTAAAAAGTGTTTGAATATTTTTTTTAAAAAAATATTTGGCCCTGGAACTCAATAAAACATGGCGCAGTACGGAATCTCTTAGGGCCTCTAGTTTCACTCAGCCATTACAGAAATTTATCCAAGAATCGGCTTAAGAGCTTGTTTTACTGTGTACTGAAAGTTCCCATTCACTGCCAGCCGAAGCAGCAGGCATCTTGGTTACAAAGTCGATCAGCTTTTTTATTTGTATTCATAATTTTGGTCATAGTCTTGAGGGGTATGAGAACAACCAGAATTGGTCTTTGAAATATTTTTTAAAAGTAGACGTATTAATTTTGCTTGTACTGTTTTCATAATATTCAGCTAATTATTCCTAGTATTAGTCAGCTATTAGACTACCTAAATTCTGAAAGGTAGTAAGACATGAATTTAACATTTCTTCTGTTTCTTTTCTATAGGTGTGGATTGGTACAGAGTAGGCTTGTAAGAAAACTAGTTTGGTTTTAAATTCTTTTAGGGACTGTGGACTTCATAGTAAAATTTTATGGGAAAATACCAAGAAGTTTTTAAAGAAAGCCATAGTTGAGCGATGACACTCAGAGACAAGCAGATCTATGACACATGTTTTTAGAAATTGGCTTCCATACCCAAGTCAATTTTAAGTTAAATGAGATAAAAGGGAGACCTCTCTGGGTTGGTTAAAGCAAACGTTTTTCGTAACTTTTAATTGAGCTGTCAGGATTGGTGTGTGGGTGCACACAATTCTAAGTCCTTCTCACACTTGGGAAACAAGCTCCCCCAAGTAGCATCCTAGGGTGCTGGCTAGGTGGGTGTGGTAATTTGGGGGTCACCGGTTGGATTGCAGTCAGTGTTAATTTCTAGGGGTTGCTTCCTTTTTAGAGCTAGCGCCTGAGTTCGTAGCTCAACTCCGGAGGATTGGAGACAAATTGTCTTCTGAGTGGTGTGAACCCGACATCACTGCGGTGCTGGTGGAGATGTCTGGCAAGAAGGCTCGAAAGAGCGCGACGAGGAGCCCGAGCCCAACGCGGGTCCCAACAGGTACCGGCCCGGGCACGGCGAGGCTACGGCGGGGCTACGGAGGTCAGGCTTAATCCGTTGGAGCTCGAGCCTGCCTGGCGCGTGCCCTGGGAACATCATCAGAAAGTTCTCGAAGCAGCAGCTTGCTTGTTATACAGGCCCCTTTTAGAGCACGTTGTCCATCTCCACAGCTTTGGGGGGGTGGGCAGAGGAGGGAGGGAACGTGCAGGCGGCCACCCTAGGCCACCCTAGACAGTCACTGACAGCCCCTTCAATGCCGCAAAGGGAGGCAGGGCATAGTCCCTGGGAGTCCAGCTCAGAGGACTTGACACCGTGAATGCACCTACTCCTAGGACTAACAAAAGCAGTTCTTAAACTGCTTCTGGCCTAATTCTCCCATTTTGGGCTGTTTAAGGTTTAAAGACACCCTGTAGGGCTACCCGAGTTCTGACACCCAGGAGGCCTTCCTCCTTAGTTAACATTTTAACTGTCCCTGCTGGGAAGTTAGGGGAGAGAGGGATGGGGTTAGCCGGTGAGGAGGAATTCTGTTGTGCATTCCCTTGTTGCCAGGCCAATCACTTTGGCTGTTTTTTCTACCAAGCACATGCCTTTTTGTGAATCTCATCAAACAGGTCTGCAGTCAGCTGCTTAAGGGTTGGAAATCTCTTAGGACGGACTGGCATTTCTTCAGACACCTACAGTTAGCCTTTATTTCTCAGCCCAGTTAGCATGCTGAGAAAGTGGTATCTTAGAGTGACATTAGGTCAACTTCCTCTGGTGCTTCCATGGATGGGAGAAATTCTGTCCACTTTTTGGGATGTCTGGGATTTTTGCTCATGTTTCTAAATCGGATGCTGGATTGTAATTTTTTTTTGGGGGGGGGAGGGCAGGGTCTCAGTACAAGCTGACCTTGAGCTTCTAGAGCTTCTAGTTCTACTGTCTTTACCCTTGGGATTACAGCTTGTCTGTCACTACATCCATTTAGGCAGCACTTTACCAACTGACCCACACCACAACCCTAATGTTTTTGGGTTTTTGTTGTTTTGTTTTTTGAGACAGGGTTTCTCTGTATTGTTTTGGAACTAGCTCTGTAGATCAGGCTGCCCTCAAACTCAGAGATCTGCTTGCCTCTGCCTCCCCTAGTGCTGGGACTAAAGGCTTGTACCACCAACGCCCAGATCACCTTATTGTTTTTAAAGGGCTATGTGCTAATATAACCCATTGACCTGAAAAGAAATGTCTGTTTCCCCCCACCTTTAGTCTTGAAGCCCACAAAGAAAGACATCTACAAGAATTAGGCAAGTGCCATAATATGGGTTAAGGAAGGGGTCACTTGCCTCTTGTTGGCTGAAATGTAGGCTTAAATATTTTCTTTATCACACAGTTATAGCTCACATTTATTTTGAGCCTTCATAGGGTCTTTCCAAAGTCATTTTTGAAAACGTTATCAGATTTTAATTTATAGCCTGGGCTTTAAAGCTCACTGTTATCATTGCCTTAAAGTTAGTCAAAGTGGTCAAAACAATTCCTAAGATCTCTAAACTATGAAAGAAAATTGAAGATATATTCAAGCAATATGGATTTATTTAAAAGTTTACTTGGAGATTCAATTACATGAGAGCTTTTGAGAGCCTTTTTCTTTTTTTCCCCCCTTTGGTTTTCCAAGACAGGTTTCTTTGTGTTGCTTCAGAGCCCAACCTGGAACTCACTCTGTAGACCAGGCTGGCCCTCGAACTCACAAAGATCTGCCTGTCTCTACCTCCCGAGTGCTGGGATTAAAGGCATGTGCCACCACCACCCGGTGCTCTTATGAGTCTTCTGGGGGAAGAAGAGAGTCCCTGAAGAATATGTTTATAGTTGTCTGCTGTGAGTGAGGCAGGAGCTATGAGATATGGTCCTCTGAAGATCAAGTCTTCTTGGAAATAGCACAAGTGATTGGAATTTGGCTTTTGTTCCCTGCCTAACCTTATGAGAAAAGGATGCCATCATGTGAGACTGCAAAGGGCTGACTAATGGTACAGCTGATAAAAATTTAATGCATGTAATTCCTATATTTGGAGAACTGAACTTATCCAGAGTGCTTTTAAAAAACCGGAACAAATGTTTATACTCTTACCTGATCTATGTATGGAATATCAGCATGTTGGAAAGTCGGGTGCTCTAAAGTTGAAGAAGTAATTTGTGAGAGCTTTGGTTTGTCATGTACGGTGTGCTAGTTCTTGATGGTTTACAGTGGGGACTGTTGTCCAAGTTCACATTTATGTTTGACTTCTTTTTCAGACGTGGAAGATGAGTGCGTTCGTCAACTCCGGAGGATTGGAGACAAACAGAATTTGCGGCAGAAACTTCTGAATTTTATTTCCAAGCTCTTCAGTTTAGTAACCTGAGTTCTTCAAAAGCTTCTTCAAGAAGGGACTCCTAGAAAGGAAGTTCCCCCAGTTGGTGCAAATGTCTGTTATAGGATGGATGGACTGTGGTGTGATGAAGAGAGATGAGAAACACTCACTTTCTTTTGGTTGCCTGAGCACAGATGATGAATGAGATGAAAATGAATTTCTTCAGGAAAGTTTCCAGAAATCGCTCTCTTTGAGATGTGATAATGTGAGGCCACATTGATTTTAAAAGAAGGCTGGAGGGGTCACGGTAATAGGGAAGTGACTAGTAATACATCTGTCTTTTCAGAGTTGGAGTGGTGTTTCTGAGAAAGGTTGTGGTCAGAAGTCATGCAAAGGGGCATGGCAAATGATTACATGGGGTGGGGGATAGTTAGTTGTTCAGTGTGACTTTTCCCTTTTTGACAGCAACTCCAGAACAATGTGTTCTATTTCGTTTCATCCATAATCTTCTAAGAGAAAACATTTCGTTTTTGTCGACATAGAGTGTTATAGTGAATGCTGAGTTCATGGGTCACTACAAACATTGTGTCTGTTTAGGTGACTTTTCTTTTTTTTTTTTTTTTTTTGTTAAGTTGTTTTTTTGAGACTAGAGTTCCTCTGTATAACAATCGTGGATATCCTGGAACTCTTGTAGATAAGTCTAGCCTCTAACTCACAGAGATCCCCATGCCTCTGTCTCCTCAGTGCTGCTATTAAAGGCATGCACCACCATGTCTGTCTATTTAGATGACTTTTAATTTTGTTTCTATAACCATTAACTGAATAGTATGGAAAACTACCAAGTAACTGAAAAAAAATCAGAAGTATAGCAATGTGCTTGGTGGCAGTAAAATTTTTGCAGATTGGATATTATGTGATAAAGAGTTAGGATCTTATATAACCTGAGACAAAAACAAAATTTAAAAAGTTGATATAATTAAAACTTAGTAAAAGACTCATAAGAAGTTCCTAAAATTTTAGATACCCTGCCACAAGTGTTTCCTAGGTTTTTTTGTTTTGTTTTTGTTTTGTCTTTTGAGATAGGGTTTCTCTGTAGCCCTGGCTGTCCTAAAAACTCATTCTGTAGACTACCCAGAGATCTCAGAGACACCATCACCACCACCTCCTCCCAAGCCACCACCAATACCACCCACCCCAGCTTTAAAAGTTTGATTTTTAATCTGGGCTATAAATGTGAAACTCAAAATACTCAATAGCAAATTAATCCTGGTTAATAAAGGCAAGAAATTTGAATAGACCTTCCCTGAAAGGCACATAGTCAACAGATACATACATGATTCAGAGAAATGTAAGTGAAAATGACCATGAGATATGCTTATACTCTCTGAATTGACGGTTCACAAAGGTGAAAGATAACAAGCATGGTAAGGACTCAAGAAGAGAAGGAATTTCTGTTTATCTTCCTAGTATTGTAAGGTAGGACACCTATTTTGTAAAACAGCATTGAGTTTCCTTTAAAACTAAGAAATGAAGCACCCTAACCCTAGCTGTATACTACCACAGAGTGTATATGCAAAGGTGTTGAATTTATCTTTTGACAAAAGCCCAAGCCAACAAATAGTAATAAGATGGCTGGGGGGGGGGGGTAGGGAGTGAGAAAATGGTTGCCCCGTCTTAGACAGCAAAACTAGAAGTGAGTTCTGATGTTCTGGTCTACAGCAAGTCTAGGAGGTTGCCTTCTCTGACCACAAGGAAGTGATGTCTACTGGAAGTAATGCTATGGTATGCTAATAACTGTTTAATCTTTCCCCACACTGTCCATGTATTAGAACTTAGCCCTGTAAAACACATTTAATTCGTCTGTTAACTAAAACAAAATTTCCAAAAAGGGAAATAATCTCATGATTGAATTTTACTAGGGATGCTATTTATTTTACTTATTTATGATTGAAATATTTTTGTTTCATTTGAACACATGTATCACTTTCATTTTTGTTATGAGACTGTGAAGGGTGTCATATAGCAAGTCACTTTGGAAGAACTTACCTCAGTTAGTGGGCCTCGGCATTAAGATTGTTTACTTTGAAGGTTTTTTTTTTTTTTCTTGGCCCAAAGGTATACATTTTACCAAATGGGTATTTATGGTCTGTGACTATATTTATATGTGTGTTTCTGATGACTGATACTGTAGCCTGAACTATTAAATAAAGTTGGGTACTGTAGCAGCTATTGAAAAATTACCTCTTCCTGTGTGTTTTCTGTAAATTAGGAAGTTTATTATCAAGCTATTTTAACACACCACATCTGGTGTGGTGTATGTATGTGTGTTTGACTGCATGTATGTGTGGGAAGGTGTGTTGTCAGAGGTCAATAGTTAGTCCACCTTTTAAAAAGTATTGGGTGTGTGTGTGGGTGTGTACATGCTGTGGTGCTTGTGTTGAAACCAGAATGCAACTTGTAAAAAGTTGCATTTATCTGTGTGTGTGTGAGAGAGTGATGCTTCGCTTGTGGAGGTCAATCTGTTGGCATCAGTCCTTTCTCTCCACTTTGGATCCCAGGGATATGGAGCTTGATGTTGTCTTAGTTGCAGCTGTCAATTTTATCTGCTAAGCCATATTGTTGGTCCACAGAAGACTGCTGTCAGGAGTTGATACTCCTTCCCTTGAGGTGTATGTGACCGGCACATTTACCCACTGAGCCAGCTCCCTTATTTTAAGAGATAGAATCTCACTGAATCTTAACTAGGTGGCTAACAAGCCCCAGGCATTCACCTCTCAAGCAAAGTGGTGAGCTTCTATGCTCAGCTATGGTTTTATTATTTATATTTTTATTGTTGAAAACAATCTTCAAGTTCAAATATTTTGATCATATCCTTCCCCTCTTCCAAGTCCCTCCAGATCCTCTCCCTCTCCATAAATGTCTTTCTCAAAAAACAAAAAATACAACAGCACCCCCCCCCTTCCAGGGGGGGAAAAATAAAACTATCACATGGAAGTTGAAGTTGGACAGGACAAACCAATAGAAGGAAAAGAGCCTAAGAGAAGGCACAAGAATCAGACCTGAGGGATGGTGGTGGCACACCTTTCATCCCAGTGCTTGGGAGGCAGAGGCAGATGGATCTGAGTTCAAGGCTAGCTTGGTCTTACAGAGCTAGTTGCAGGACAGTTAGGGCTGTTACACGGAAAAACCCTGTTTGGAAAAATAAATCAGAGACCCACTCATTTGCACACTCAGGAATCCCATAAAACAAACAAACAAAAACACTAAACTTCAAGTCATATTGTACATGCAGAGGAGCTAGTGCAGGCCCTGTGCATGCTGCCAGTGTCTCAGTTCATATGCACTTTGCTTATATTGATTTAGAGGACTTTGTTTTTCTTAGTGCTCTCCATTCCCTCTGGCTCTTAGTCTTTCTGACCCCTTTCCTGGGTATGCAGTCCATCCTATAATAAACATTTGCACCAACCGGGGGAACTTCTTTCTAGGAGTCCCTTCTTGTGTAGAAGGTGTGAGGATTTTTCCCTGAGCTCTGAGGGGAGGGATTGTGTCCCCAAATCTCTGGATCATTGTAATGTCAGGCTGTGGGTTTCCATATGTGTTCCTATCTTGTGCAGGAGGAAGATCCTCTGATAACTGAACAAGGCACTGATGTATGAATATAGAAGACTACACCTCCCCCTCAAAGACAAGAGTTTCTATGAGTAGTTTTGGAGCCTTTCCTGGCACTGCTGAGTGCTAGGATTAAAGGCATGCGTCACCACCACCCAGCTTAGAATATCTTTAGGAGTCATTTTTATCATTCCATTTTTTTCTTTTAGATCATTATTTGGTTTTACCCTAGGTCTCTGGGCTATCTAGTCTGAGGTTCTTGGTCACCCAAGCAGTGTCATATATGAGTTGCATCTTGCGGAGTGGACATTGAGTCAAATCAGTTATTGGTTACACCCACAAGCTTTGTACCCTAAGAGATCTTGTAGGCAGTTACATCATTGTAGACAAAGGGTTTGTGTGGCTGGCTTCATGTTTATATTTTGAGAGTAGGTGCACACCTTCAATCCCAGTGTTAGACAGGCAGAGGCAGGCTAATCTCTGAGTTCAAAGTTAGTCTGGTCTACTTGGGAGAATTCAAGGGGTGCATAAAGAGATCCTGTCTTAAAAAAACAACACTCTGAGTAATTTAAAGGTGCCTGGAGCCTAGTGGACTAAGGGGAAGTGTGGCCTCCCCACTTTTCCCTGCTTCTTGCTTCAGCTGAGCTGTTGTGTGGTTCCGGTTGTGCTAACCTCATTTGCCTCTCTCTGCCTCTAAAGCTAGAACTGCAAGAATTGCTTCATCCTAAACCAGTCATGTGCAGAAGTAGGCATACGGTGTTGGTGTTGGTGACCTTCCTCTTTGAATGTGAGAACTAGGAAACAGACTTCAGAAGCCTTATCTTTGCCTCTACCCTCAAAGAGTCTCATGACCTGAGGGGAGAGGGGGTGAGCGATGAAGAGATGCTGGGGGAGACCCTGGGGAATTAGCTCCCTCAAGGTTCAGAGTTCTTTGGAGGAGGAGGATCCCACAATTGTGTGTGTTGGGGGGACGGGGTTGGCGTGTAGGTCCTGGCTTCCAAGTTCTTTACAGCTAGAATTGTGTGTCAGAAGGAACAAGTAGAGACTTCAATATAGCATTCACAAGCTTAGTGTGTGTGAAGTTTTGTTTGTGTGTGTATGTGTCAATCTGGAGGCCTGAGGAGGTCCCACTGTCTATTTTTTTCCTTTGAGACAAGGTCTTTCACTGAGCCTGGAGCCATCAAGTCCAACTATCTTCTTGTTTGCCAGGGCGAGCATGCACACACACACACACAGACATACAGACATAGACATACGCACATATAAGTACACACACCCCATCCCTCTTTTTGGCTTTTTCCATAGGTGCTGGCATCCATACTTAGGTCCTCATGCCAGTGCAGCAAGCACCTTTTCTCACTGAGCCGTCTCTCCAGTCTTTGATAGTCTGGGGACAGTCTTACTGAGTTGCAAGACCAGATTTGCCTCAGCTTTCTCAGTGTTGAGGTTGCAAGGATGGGACACTCTTTGAGAACCACATTTTAATGCTGAAAACATTTCACAAAGAGCCAGATATGATGGCCCATGCCTGTGATCATACAGCATCTCAGAAGCTAAGGCAAGAGCATGTCTGAAGGGGCTCTAGCATGTCCCGGCTTGGCAAATGTGACACTGACGGGTCTTGCCCATTCCACCTCCCTTGTAAACCATAGATGGCATCCCTGAAGCCAGCAACCAATGTCTATGTCCTCTTTTGGAAACTTTCTTATGCCAGACTCATTCCTAAGGCTGATCACCAGGGTCCAGGTATCAAAGTATTAAAGTACACCAATCAAAAGCCCCCTTTTGTCTGCCCTATAAGACCTGCCTAATCAAAACCAACTGGTGCTAACATGAGGTTTCTCCCTTGCCCTTTATAAACTGCCATTTTGGTGTGGGTCTCATGTGTCTCCTCTCTATCCAGAGGCAGTCCTTTGTCCCTCCTGGGCAAATATCTCTGCCCCCTCTCCCTTGTGCTCTGTCTCTTATTGTCTCTTTGGGGCAAATAAATCCCTTTTGTGCCGACTCTGCTTCCAGAGTGCTTGGATTTCAGGCTTGGGCCATGGTGCCCTGGCTTAAGGTACATTTTTTGTTTTCTTGAGTTAGTGTATTCTGTATCCCAGATTGGGCTCCAAACTTGTTATGTAGCCAAGACTGGTCATGTTCTCCTTATTCTCCTGACTCCATCTCCCAATTGCTGGAATCACAGACATATGCCTGCACAGCAGGCTGTATTACTCTTTTAAAAAATACAGCTCTGTATATCTGAAACATTCTCCTAGTTATCGATCAATCTCTCATTCATCTATCTACCTGTCATCTATTCACTTGCCATTTATATATCTACCTCCTATCTAAATCATCTGATAAGTCATTTTTCAGGTGAAATCCTAGTTTTTTGTGGTGTGGGTTCAAGACTCTCTTATAACAACTGTGGCCTCTCCCCTATACCCACACAGGAGCAACATAAATGATGAAAAATCTCATTAAACTCCTCAAATCTTTGTCAGAGGATCAACCATCAGAAAGATAGCTTGATATTTTAAAGCCGAGGTGATCAAGCTGGGAGGGGTGGCTGGCACCATCAGTTCCAGCTCTAAGGTGGCAGAGAGAAAGGGCTGTTCAGCTGGAGGCCACCTTGTAGTACCTAAGGAGACACTGTCCCTCCCCCACCCCCCAAAACCCAACAAAACCACAGTCAACAGGCCAGGCAATGCCATGATGCCAGGAACACGCTGCTCGGCTCCTGGAGTCACAAAGCAGAAACACTGAGCAACATGCCCTTGGGAAGGCAGCCTAAGTCAAAGTTACTGGGAAGCAAGAGGCTCACATCATCATCATCAAGTCCCTTGTGGTTTGACTGGAAAGCTGGGATGGCAAAGGAACCAGAAGAACTCCTGCTTGGTTGTGGTCCAAAGAGTCCCCGCTGAGCTCCTGGCCCACAGCACTGAAAGGAACTGAACAGTTTTCGAAAAAGCCGCCTCATTTCTGAGCCGTTCCCATTCCCCGTTCCCTGTGTTTAGAAGCATTGGTCCCCCGCAGGCCCATTTGGTAGAGTGTTTGTACAGCATACACAAAGCCTTGC